AATCTAATGTGAATGAACTGGATTTGTTTAAAGTCTACATTGCCCCCTAGGGCAGGGCTTCTGTCTTACTCCCTCCTGTGTTCTCTGTGCCTAACACAGTGTTTGGGATATTAAATATTTCTCCTTTTTTTTTTTAGAGACAGGGTCTCACTCTGTAGACCAGGCTAGTCTTGAACTCACTATGTAGTTCAGGCTGGCCTCAAACTTGCAGCAACCCTCTGGCCTTAGGCTCCTGAGTGCTGGAATTATAGGTGTGGGCCACTACACCCTGCTAAATATTTATTAAATGGAAGCAGATGTACACAACCAGGAGAATGAATGCCAAAGCACCTGCCCTCACACTCAGCCTGGAGCCTCAGATCCAAAACCACACTTCATTGCCTACAGGAATTCTACCAGAATTCCACTTTCATTAGCATTTCTTAACTCTTCCTGGACTTGCCACCCAGGCAGAATGGTGGGTTTTTTTGTGTCTTTTTGAGACAAGGTCTCCCTATGCAATTCAGGCTGACCTTGAGCTCACTTTGTAGCCTAGGCTGACCTCGAACTCCCAGTGATCCTCCTGCCTCAGCCTCCGGAGGCCTGAGATTACAGGCATGAGCCACCACGCCAGGCCCAAAATGGTTTGAACATCAACATCCAGTCTGCCTGCTAAGATTGACTTCCCTTGCCTTGCTGTTTCCAACAATTTGGGACTGTGGTTCTTACCACTCATGGCCAAGATTCAAAAACCAAAAGACCGAACTTTCAATTCTCAATAAATTCTGACCCCCTACTCCCACCCCAAGACATCGCCAAAGCTTTGCTAGGTAGTGTTTCCCCTTTGGCCAGTGAGCAATAAACTTGGCTTTATCTTATCAATAGCTTGTGTTGTTTATATTTGGAGTGCTGCTTTGTGTGTGGTAACGGGATGGAATCCAGGGCCTTTGCACTGAACTATCACCCCAGCCCTTTTTATTTTGAGACAGGGTCTCAATAAGTCACTAAGCTGTCAAGGCTGGGTTTGAATTTGCAATCCTCATGCCTCAGCCTCTCACAGTTCTGGGATTATAGGCGTAAATCACCACGCCCAGCATAGAGTGCTACCTTTTCTTCGTCACTTCTCAGCCTTTTGACTAAGATTAAGTGTGGAATGCCAGCTTTTGACAGGAGGAATAAAATCCACAGTAAAGCAACTAAATAATGTTTTATTGCTTGAGGCAAGAACTCTACCACTGAGCACATCCTCAGCCCTTGTTTTATTGCTTGAGGACATTAAAAACACCCCTAATAAGACTTCCATGCCCAGATATATTGGAGCCTGAGACAAAATATCAATAATGATCTTGTTTTTATTTAAAATTTTGCTATTGTGCTTGCTTCTGCAGCATATATACTAAAATTTTGTGATTTTTGTCTGTGCTTTTTCTGCATTTAAAAAAAATACTGCAGGCTGGGGCTACAGCTCAGGGGTATAGCACTTGTTCAGTGTGCTGGAGGCACTGCGTGTCACCCTCAGCACCAAAAAACAAACCTACCTTTAAATATTGTTAGTCTTGAGTACTTTTTTTTTTGTTTTTTCGAGACAGGGTCTCGCTATGCAGTTCAGGCTGGTCTTGAACCGGCAACAATCCTCCTGCCTCAGCCTCCTGAGTGCTGGGATTATAGGCATATGCCACCATGCCCAGCTAAATTGAGTATTTTTTTAGTCCCTTAAATTTTTTAGCCCCTTAAATTTTGCTGCCTCTAACGATGGGGAACTCTTGCTTTATATTTTAAGTCCTCCTGAGATAGGCCAGAAGAAATGAAAAGGAAGGAGACACGGAAGTTGAGACTTTAAAATTGTACTTTTAAGAAAAACTGCAGCTTCAAGGCAATTTTTTCTCCTTGCTTTTAGAGCTTTTTCTCTTGCTTTCTTCTTCTTCTTCTAGCTTGTAAACCACCCTTCCTTCTTTATAAAATGCAATGTTAAATTCTAAAGATCCTTTTACAATGGCACTAGACCAGTCGAATTGCCTTTCCCTCCCTGGGCTTTCTTTCGCATGCACTGGCGATAGCACACCTCAACAGTGTATCTAGACTTCAAAGGCATATAAATAGCCTGCAGGTAACGGTAACCTACCAGTGACCGCACTTCTTAGATCATGTACCTTGAAGACACCCTCTAAATGTGCCCTACACCTGCACTCCATTAAGTGCCTCCTGTATCTCTATTTCTAATAAACTTTCTCACGTCTCTTACTGAGGCGTTCTGAACATTCTTTTCCGCAACAAGAGTCAGCGAACCTGCAAACATTTTATTTTATTTTATTTTATTTATTTTTTGTCTTTTTGAGAAAAGGTCTCGCTGTGCAGTTCGGGCTGGCCTTGAACTCACTTTGTAGCTCAGGCTGGTCTCAAACTCGCACCAATCCTCCTGCCTCAGCCTCCCGACTGCTGGGATTACAGGCGTGCACCACCACGCCCGGTTTGCAAAATTATTTTTAAAAAGTTAGATTAATTTCTTTATTTCAGCCTCCGGAATCTCACAGACCCAACCTGGTGCCATTCCTATGCTAGGATTGTCTGGAAAGTGTGCAGTTACTGCTCTGACAACGACGATAACAGCACAAAGAAAGGTCTGGATTCCAAAGCTTCTAAGAACTTCCAGTTTAGGGAGGAAAAAAGTCTGAATTCAGGGCAGAAGGCTCAGAAAAGCGCAGGCAGCTCCATCTCATTAAATCCACCCCAGCCCACAAACCCACCCGCAATCCCACAGCCACGCCCCCGCAGCCTATGCCTCGGGCAACAAAGACGCCTTTATTTTAACACTAAATAAAGGACACTTTACTCCCTGCGACCTTTGTCCCACTCCCTTTTTCGCCAATCTGGGAAACCTATGACGTTTCCGCCTAATTCCGCAAATCCCGCCGCCTCCTGTCTTCGGCCCTGCAATTCCATCCTCTATCTCATTTCCGGGGAGGGTTTAGCGCGCGGACCTGCACGCCTCGGGGCAGGCGAATCCCAGGGCGCAGGCGCAGTCCCGCCTCAGCCTCGCTGTCCTTCCACCTCCCTACCCGCCCCCTAACCTGTTCAGGGCGTCGCCGGGGCCTCAGTGCCTTCTTTCCGCCGCGCGTGATCACGTGACGCGGGAGAGGCGGGATACCGAGAGCAGCCCCGTCCCTGCCAGGACAGTTTCTTGACCTTCTACCTGGTTTTCCCGGCAAGGGCCCGCGCGGGCGTCGGCAGCCGGGGATTCGTCCGCCCGGTGGGCGGGCCCGCGGGCGCCTCCTCCTCCTCCGCGGAGGCCTGGGCGGTGATCGGTCACGCGCCGCGGGGCCGCGGGGGAGAAGGGGCGGGGCGGGGGCGGGGCCTCGCGCGGTCCCGGGACAGCTTTTAGGGCCCTGCTGGCGCTGCCACTGCAGACTTGCGCTGTCGCTGCAGACTCGCGCTGTCGCTGCAGACTCGCGCTGTCGCTGCAGACTCGCTCTGTCGCTGTCTCCGCCGCTGCCTGCGTCTCCGCCGCACACCTTAGCAGACACCATGAACCCCGACCTGCGTAAGGAGCGGGCCGCCGCCACGTTCGACCCGGAGCTGATCACACACCTCCTGGATGGCAGCCCTGAGAAGACCCGGCGCCGCCGAGAGATCGGTGAGGGCGGCGGCCCCTGCCCTCCGCTCCCGAGCGGGGCTTGAGGTCCCTCGATGAGCAGCTGTGCTCTCCGTGAGACCTGAGGCCGCATCCTGTCGCCCTTCATTAGGGGAACCAGAACCCCCACCTCGAGGGGCAGCCGGGGGCAGGGGTGGGATGTCGCCCTTCCCGAGACGTGCCGGAGATTGGCACCCGCTGTGATCCAGGGAAGTGCAACGTCTGTCTCCCTGTTAATGTCGTTCAACTCCCCCTTTCAGAAAACATGATCCTCAACGACCCGGACTTCGAGCATGAGGATTATAACTTCCTCACTCGGAGCGAGCGTTACGAGGTGGCTATCAAGAAGAGTGCCGCCATGGTGAAGAAAATGAGAGAATTCGGTATTTCGGACCCCGATGAAATCATGTGGTTTAAAAGGTAGGTATGGCTTAACACAGCAATCTACAAGCCCAGGTTTTGCATTTGAGGTCTGTGAAGGCCTTCTGTCATCTCGTTTGGTGTTTAAAGGTCCAAACCGCCATATTTTCGTGCCACTAGAAAGTTTGGCTTTTGTTTTGTTCTTGCCATTTTGAGACAGAGTCTGTGTGTAGTCCAGGCTGGCCTTGAACACACAGTCCTCCTGCTTCCACCTCCCAAGTGCTGGGATTACAAGTGTACCACTTGAAAGTTTTATGTGTGGAAAATAATGCGATTGTTTTTGTCTCTTAAGTCTCTCAAGTGGGATGATGTATTTGTAGACTACTGACTATGAATGAAAATGCTGGAATACTGATTCTCCAAAACCCAGTCTCAAGGATGTTACTTAAAATATTTTCAAAAAAAATTATTTTCCCCCAGCATCTCAATTTTAAATACAAAAAGAGGGCCTGGGGATTTAGCTCAGCGGCATAGCTCCTGCCTGGCAAGCGCAAGGTCATGAGTTCAATTCCTGGTACTGGAAAAAAATGCAAAATGAGTTTGCTCATTGTAAAAAGGAGACCTGCTAAATTTCCAATTTTGGGAGGATTTTTCTCCATTGCAAGAGCAAACGTGTAAATATTTAGGGACAATAAGATACATTTTCATATGACAGTGTGGGTCTTGAGTTCAAAATAATAAATACCAGGATGGATAAAACAACATCAAACTTAGGAGTGACTGTAAAGTACTCTAAGAACTCAGCTTTGTTGGATATAATGACAGTGTTTAAATATTTGTTTTGTGCACAGAAATTTGTCTGAGTCCTAATCCTGTCATTTTTTTTCAGAGCACCCATTTTTGTTGAGCTTAGGATTTTAATTAGAGAAACACTTTTTTTTTTTTGCTTTAGCCTAAATAAGTATATTACTTTTTTTTTTTTTTTTTTTTTGAGCTTGTATCTCTTACACTTTTTTTTTCATCTTACCATTCTCATTTGTTGAGTATTTCCTCTTTTATGTTTCTGCATTTTAGAGGAACTCCAATGTTTTCATCAATAAAGATAAAATTTGGGGCAGAGATGTGTGGCTCAGTGTTAAAGCACTTGCCTAGCAAGCACGAAGCTGTGGGTTCATTCCCAAGCACTACCAAAAAAAAAAAGATTAAATTTTATGGGTGGTGTACTTTGAAGAATCAAGATAAATGAAGCATGTTAGAAGTTCTAGCTGGGTGTGGTGGCGCATGCCTGTAATCCCAGCACTTGGGAGGCTGAGGCAGGAGGATCATTGCAAGTTTGAGACCAGCCTGGGCTACAAAGTGAGCTGAAGGCCAGCCTGAACTGCATAGCGAGACCCTTTCTCAAAAGGACAAAAAAAAAAAGTTCTGCCTCTGTGTATTAATGGTTATTCCTCCCTTACTGCCTCTGCTGTATCTGGTTATCTGTTTGCAACTTGACTTGTTTATTACCGAGGTGATAAAATGGTGTACTCTGACCTTAGAACTTTCCTTAGAACTCCATTCACTTCAGTTATCAAAAATATTTATAGTGGCCCAAATCAGAGTACTCAGCAACTTCCAATGTTCATTTTTTCCTGTGAAGTTTGTAACTGTTTGTTTGTCTTTTTTGAGACAGGGTCTCACTGTGCAGTTCAGGCTGGCCTTGAGCTCACTTTGTAGCCCAGGCTGGCCTGGAACTTGCAGCGATCCTCCTGCCTCAGCCTCCCTAGTGCTGGGATTACAGGCGTGCGCCACCACGCCCGGCTGAAGTTTGTAACTATGACTGGGGGTATTGAGATAGGGTAAATCCTGTTAGGTTTTTGTTTTTGTTTTTGTTTTTGTTTTGTTGTTTTTGCCTTTTTGAGACAGGGTCTCACTATGCAGTTCAGGCTGGCTTTGAGCTCACTGGTCTTGAACTTGCAACAATCATCTTGCCTCAGCCTCCCAGTCCTGGGATTACAGGTATGCGCCAGCATGCCCAGCTAAATCCTGTTAGATTTGTGTTACCAAATCACCTGAAGTAGGTTTGTAAACTTGTAAAAATTAGAGTTTATACCTCCTTAAAATGAAGTCAAAGGGCCAGGGATATAGCTCAGTGGCACAGCACCTGCTTGGCAAGTACAAGGTCCTAAGTTCAGTTCCCAGTACAAAAAATAAAAAGTCAAAGAGAGGTTGCCTGGCCTGGTGGCACACACCTGTAATCCCAGCACTTAGGAGGCTGAGGCAGGAGGATTGTTGGGCATTTGAGGCCACCTTGGGCCACAAAGTGAGCTCAAGGCCAGCCTGAGCTGCATAGCGAGACCCTGTCTCAAAACAACCAAAAAAAAAAAAAGAGGGAGGTTGGTGTCTGGTGTTTTTGTTTTGTTTTGTTTTTTTTCCGGTACCGGGGATCGAACTCATGACCTTGCGCTTGCCAGGCAGGCGCTGTGCTGCTGAGCTAAATCCCCAGCCCCCTTGTTTTGTTTTAATGGGCAAGGCATTTTATTTCCAAGTTAGTTCAGTTTCATAACCTGTGGTAGTTCATAGTATGTAACCAGACTGGAGTGAAATCACAATGAACTAGAACAGAGCCCGTTATGGAAATTAAAGATCCATAGACTTCAGCCATTTATGAGTTTTTTGTTGGTTATTTTTTATTTTTGAGACAGCGTCTTGCTGTAGTCCAGGCTGGCCTTGAATTCACTGTGGCTTAGACACACCTCATACTATTCCACGTCACCCTCCCACTTGCTACCCTCCCACATGCCGGTACTGCTGGAATTATAGGTGTGTGCTGCCAGGTCCTGCCAGCCAGTTGTTTTGTGTGCCATTTTTCACTTGAAATATTAAAGTACAAACTTTAGTACACCCTTTGACAACCTTCCAGTACCCCTAGGATGTGACAGGGAGATCATTTTAAATTAGAGAAGACTAAGAATCTTTGCAAGTACTACAAGCCATCAAGTCAGCCACCAGCATGTAATCTCATTGATATTATAAACTCATTGTTTTCTAAAACACCAACATTTTATTTACTAAGAGAAAAGTATTGTGAAATGAGTTGAATTTCTTGAATGCGAAAATTGGGAGGAGAATACTAGCATTGATGAAATACAGTGCTATTTCTGAGGATTGGGAACATTTAGTGTTCTTTTGCATCCATTTTTTCTATCACAAAATAATACAAACCTATTTTGAGGCAAATTCAATGTTAGTAAAAACTCTTCTTAAATTGCTTGCTTCAGCAGCACATATACTAATGTTCTTTTTTTTTTGTCTTTTTGAGACAGGGTCTCACTATGTAGTTCAGGCTGGTCTTGAACTCACCTTGTAGCCCAGGCTGACCTCAAACTTGCAGCAGTCCTCCTGCCTCAGCCTCCCGAGTGCTGGGATTATAGCCTTGTGCCACTACGTCCAGCTAAGATGTTCTTAAGAGTACTTTGAAATGAGGTTCAGTCATGTTTTATCTTTTAGGTTTTTAAAGCTGGTTCTTAGAGCCGGGCGTGGTGGCACATGCCTGTAATCCCAGCACTTGGGAGGCTGATGCAGGAGGATCACTGCAAATTTGAGACCAGCCCAGGCTACAAAGTGAGCTGAAGGCCAGCCTGAACTGCAGAGTAAGACTCTGTCTCGAAAAAAAAAAAAAGCTGGTTCTTCCAGAGTAGGGGATAGCTCAGTGGGTAGAGCACAAGGTTAGTATGCTTGATGGTTTTTGTTTTTGTTTTTGGTACTGGGAATCGAACTCATGACCTCAGGCTTGCCAGACAAGCGCCTGTGCCACTGAGCTATATCCGCAGCCTGGGTTGACATGCTTGAGACCCTAGATTCAACCGCCAGTACCACCAAACAAATAAATGAATAAGCAAACAAATAAAATATCCAGCCAGTAAAATAAGTAACATTAACAAAACCTGTTGCTTTAGACTGAGCATAAAATTTTACATAAATCTATGTATTTATTGAGACAGGGTCTCGCTGTATAGTTTAGGCTGGCCTTGAACTTTGTAACCCAGGCTGTCCCGAAACTCCGTGATCCTCCTCCTTCAGCCTTCAGAGTTCTGGGATTACCGGTGTGCACCATGATGACTGGCTAATTTTTTAAAAATTATTTTTATTTATTTTTAAGACACGGTCTCACTGTATAGTTCAGTCTGTCCTTGAACTCAGTGTGTGGCCCAGACTGGCCTCAAATTCATGGGGATTCTCCTGCATCAGTCTACCTGTGCTGGGTAGTGCTGGGATTACAGGTGTGTGCTAACACACTCGGCTGTGAGCGTAAAATTTTATTTGTCTTTTTGAAACAAGGTCTCACTATGCAGTTCAGGTTGACCTTGAGCTTACTTTGTAGCCCAGGCTGGCCTCAAGCTCACAAAGATCCTCCTGCCTCAGCCTCCCCGAGTGCTGGGATTACAGGCATGTGCCACCACACCCAGCTGAGCATAAGATTTTAAAAGGAATTCTGGAGACTGGGGCAAGGCTCAGGGATAGAGCCTGTGTTTAACATGTGTGAGCCCCTGGGTTCAGTCCCCTGCGCCAGAAAGAAAATGAAAGAAAATTCTGGCTTGGAAATGATTAGGGGAGTGACTACCAGGTCCTGCTGCTGGCTTTTAGGTAGTGAATGGTTGGAGCTTCTGTTTTCCTCACCATCCTGAGTGCTGTTTGGCAACAACAGGTAATAGGATATAGTTTATAGAGTAAGGCTGAGACCCTTTTCTTTTCTTTCCTGTAGACTACATTTGGTCAATTTTGTGGAACCTGTGGGCCTCAATTACTCCATGTTTATTCCCACTTTGCTGAATCAGGGCACCACTGCTCAGCAAGAGAAATGGCTGCACCCATCCAAAGGACTTCAGATAATTGGCACCTACGCCCAGACGGAAATGGGCCACGGTTAGTCCACATCTGAGGGTCTGTGGGAAACCCGCCTCAGGATTTCAGGCAAAAATGACTGCCGCTGTTTGATTTTCTTTTTCCTGCTGCTACTACATGTTTGAGATTTTATTTTTAAATTGTTACATCAAAATTCAGCTTTTTCTTCTAGGTCA